GTGGACATTGATCGGAGGCGGGCCAGCGCTCCTCATGTCGGTAGTGATCGTCCTCTAAGGCCTCACTTCGCTGATAATGATGCTTCCGTTCCACGCCTTGCCCCTATAGAGACAGAGCGAGCTATGGCCAAGCTGAAACGTAAAGTCATGGGCTTATATCGTAACCACCGACTCCCAGCAGTTAATGTAACGCCTGAAGAAGAAGAAGCTGTTAGTAACTTAGCCAGCGACCGCAGCATCATTGTCAAACCGTCAGACAAATGCAAAGGCCTCGTTTTGATGAACAAAGACACTTACATGGCAAAGGCGAGGGATATACTTGATCAGTACGAACAGGTACCTAGTAACCCTACTCCTAGATTAGAAGCCTCAACCAAAAGAACTATTAAATCGGTTATGGACAACAAGGTAGACCAGTCACTTATGCAAGCCCTCCTGCCACAGGGGTCGCGCACTGCGGAATTCTACGGTCTCCCTAAGAATCACAAACCATCCGTCCCGCTCCGCCCCATCGTGTCAGCGTGTGGGGACCCCCTTGACAAGGTTACGTGGTTCTTAGATCAGATCATCTCTCAACTACTATAATACGTACCTGCCCACCTGCCAAACACCGACACGTATCTTCAGCGGCTGAGCCAAACGTATCCGAACGGCTTTCCCCCAGGTACGATCGTCTTTAGCCTAGATGTAACTAACCTATATGGGAATATACCTGTAGACGAGGCTGTACAAACGGTGATGAATCTGTTACAGGAACACAGAGAGACCATCAATTTGTTTGACCTGTCTTGGACAGACGTAGAGCCTCTTCTAAGGCACTGCCTCACCAACAGCTACCTAAGATTCGGGCAATCATTTTACAAACAAACCCTCGGGTTACCCATGGGAAACCGTATAGCCCCGTCCACCGCTATCATCTTCATGGGAGCGCTGGAAGACATTTATTTGTCTGCTAACCGCGCTCAACCAGAACTGTACCTGCGCTACATCGATGACTGTTTCTGTGTCTGGTCACATGGTTCGGAGGAGCTCTCAGCTTACTTCGAATATGTCAACTCGGTTCACCCCACGATCAAATTCACCATCGAACGTTCCGACACAGCCAGGCCTCGGGGACAAATAGCATTTTTAGACACGCAGATCAGCGTGCACCAGAGCGGGCACTACAAAACGCAGCTTCATATCAAACCTGAAGCTGCATCCATCATCCTTCCTTTTGACTCGGCCCAGCCGTTCAAAACTAAAAAGTCGGTCGCTAAGTCCCAATTTCTACGAGCCCTGAAGGTTTCGTCAGACCCACAGAGCGCTAAGCGCAGCACTGACATGATATTTGACTTGGTCGTGTCCAACGGCTACCCTCCACGCTGGCTGCACGGGATAGCGCGTCAGGCTCTGAAACAATACAACAGACAAAAGTATCCGACAGCTAACCGCACAAGTGACCGTAGTCACACAGGAGCCCATCCCAAACGTAGGGATAGGATATATGTGTCACTGCCTTTCATCAGTGACAGCCTGACTCGGAAAGTAGATGCGGCCCTGAAATCTGTTAATCCCAGCTTAACAGCATCGTGGAAAAATGGCAACACCCTCGCCAAACGCCTGGTACATTCGGCTTTAGAGCCCCCACCCTGTCGCGCAGGGAAGCAGTTCTGCCGTACGTGTAACAATGGACTACATGGGCGATGCACAACGAAAAATGTCGTCTATCAGATCACATGTATGATGTGCGCAGCTGCCGACGGGCCTCCTCAGACATACATTGGAGAAACAAAGCGCTGTGTCAGATACAGGTTCGATGAACATTTTAGAGACGGCACCAATCGTACGAGGCAGACTCCCTTTGGAGAACATATGAGGGAGAGCCATCCGAATGAGTCAGAGCCTCGGCTATCTGTCACCATTCTTCGCAGATGCAAAGACGCAGCTGACCGGAAGTAGCCGAGGCTCAGGCTATCCGGGATAGGCAGCCCTCTCTGAACGGTCAGATCGACACGTGGCCACTGCTCCACTGAACGATTACGTTTTGTCAGCCATCGATCGATGTGTATTATGTATGTACATGTTACACGTATGTAATGTATTCGGTGTGATGTGTTGATACATTTGAGTACGAGGGTAGGACCCAATTACTTGTAATTACTAAATCTCGGTACCGGTGTCAAATGTGTAATTGTGTAGGGATCGTGTGTGTTCTTATTTAGGCCAACATGCGTCATTTTATTTCTGTATACCTATGCTGCCAGTCTGGGGAGAAGATCGTGATCGTAAATCATGCCTTTTTATTTTAGGTCAAGTATTTAGGATTAGTACTTAGGGTAAAGTGTTAAAATTGGATTATTGTTATTTATGGTAGCAACAACTTGTGATCGGTGGTGCAAAGAATGTTATCCGCACGTTCGCCATCTCTGCTTCAAATATGAATGCTTTAAATGTTCACTCTGAAGAAGCCACAAGGGCGAAATATCAGTGTCTTTATATATATTTTGTTTTTTCGTCATTTTTCGATTAAGTATGAGCAAAGGCTATTTCATCATCACTAAAACTAAAAAAACAGTAATACTTTTCGAAAAAAGGGGTATCATTGGACTCAGAAAAGAATACCGCACCACATGAGCCATGAGCCCATATACTTTTCCAAAATTCGGTTTTTTTTAACAACCCTACTGTGCCGGGGCGGGACGGTTCCGTCTTTACATCGAGCTCCTTACCGCTGATTATATTAGATTCGCGTCATATTCGGTGAGAAGAGTGAGAAATGTACAGGCAATCATATGGTCAAAGAATTTTGAAAATCGGCCGGTAACAACTTGAGTTATGAGTGTGTAAACACAAAATTGTGATTGCCGCGTTTCCCGCGTCGGCCGATGCCGCTTCAGCCGGCGACATCTTAAAGGGACCCTCCCACCTTAACATTAGTTTTGAGTTGAGATAGCCAAGTTTGCGGCCAGGCTCAGAAACCACCATTTATCCTGGTCGCAACCCCCGCAGCTTTATGGTGTTCAAGAAATTTCTTCCCTTTACTTGCAGGGTGGGACCAGCGTGGTCCCTATCTCTTAACCATTACGGGAATCTGATGACGTCATCAGGCTTTCGAACGTCCGTTAAATGTTTGACTAAAACGTTTTGTAGCACGCGGTGGTATATGCTGCTTTGCGCGCAACAAATGCCGCACTTTCAAATAAAGTCGCTAGGAACAGCGGAGATCCCAAAAAGTAAACAAAAGTATAAGTCTAATATCTTGAAAACCGGTGAATATTTTTCGATGAAATTTGGTAGATATGCGTTTTTGCTCTTTCTGAACCGAGCGACATCACTTTCATGCCAATTCATTAACTTTTTTGAAGGTGGGAGGGTCCCTTTAACCTTAGCAGGCTTCTAACTGCCATATTTATTGTTGGATTATCTAGAAATTCACCATACATGCGCACAAATGTTTGCTCTTTCGTATAGTGAAAGAATAAAAAAATCGGCCGGTAACTTTTTGAGTTATTGGCGTGTAAACGCAAAAAAGTCGCTAATATGGCAGATTTGACCACATTTGACCTCATTTGACCTTGAAGATATTGACCTAGGGTCATGAAATTCACACACAACAGAGTTCCCCAAGCCCCCACCTACCCTCCAAATTTCGTCTTTCTAGCTCCAGTGCAGAGCTGAGATCTTAGGGGGGCGACATCCGCCCCCCCCCTTCCACTGGGCGTAGTACTCGCAACCCTTCCACTGCGCGTGTTAACACCTGCTTTGTACGTACCTACAAGGCGCGGGCGAAGTTCACAACACAAATGTCCGACAGTAATTAGTACTACTACTGCGGTACGTACCGGGACGACCCGCTGTGTGCAATTTACACTCATATATATATATATATATATTAGTGTAAGCTGGAAGCAGATTATTCTTATGGCAATGCTCATTAAATGATAACGCAGCTTTTCCGTTTATAAGCTTACGGTTTATGGACTCTAGTGCTCTTATAGCTTTCTTATTGCTTTCAACATGTTCAAAAAGGATATTACCCAAGCTCATAATGGTTAACAAAAGTATGGCCAACAAAAACATGGCCAATGACAAGTCACCCCTAAAACAGAGCAACCTGGTATACCACTTCAAATGCAACAAAGGAGACTGTGCGCTCCTCCCTTCAAGTGGCTATATCGGCCTCACCACCACGACTCTGTCCCGGCGCCTAACTATGCACCTTCAGAGCGGAGGACCGCAGCAACACACCCAGACTGAACACCAAACCCTACTGACCAGACGGGAAATCGTGGACAACACCTCCATTCTGGCGAGAGCATCGGACTGGCGACGACTGGCGGCTCTCGAGGCCATCATGATCAGGGAAAAGGACCCAGCCATCAATCGGCAGATAAACGCCCGAGGAACCCTGCAGTTGTATGAGGGTCGGCGCCTGACCTAGGTCACGTGTCGCCCACTAGAAAGCTGCGCTTACCTGGATGGATAGATCTGCAATTCGTTAATGTTGATGTAACTCGTTTAATTCATTTCCTAACAGCATATCAAGTTTCTTCAGAAATGTCTTTTGCAATTTATCACGAGCGACTATCTCGCGGTGGATTAATTCAAACGAACTGACTTGACCGAAATGTGTGACATGACCTTTGTTCTTGAAAATGTATAGGGAATATACGAAACGCGTCGAACTATAAGGTCAATTTAATGGAAATAATACTTTTGTTAACCATTATGAGCTTGGGTAATATCCTTTTTGAACATGTTGAAAGCAATAAGAAAGCTATAAGAGCACTAGAGTCCATAAACCGTAAGCTTATAAACGGAAAAGCTGCGTTATCATTTAATGAGCATTGCCATATATATATATATATATATATATATATATATATATATATATATATATATATATATATATATATATATATATATATATATATATATATATATATATATATATATATATATATATATATATATATATATATCTGACCATATAATCAGCGTGACACACGCATCAAAATTCAAAGCATTGTTGTGCAAAGCAATCAATTCTCACAAAGCACTGAAGTTAATGACCCCTGATTCATCTCTGATTTGAAATGCCCTTGGTGTGTAACTAGTCTCCCTATGTATGAGGGTGTCCTAGCCGACCCGACCCGGGGCGGCGCCGCTGAAGGCGCGGCTGTGGCTCGCGCACTCCGGGTCCTCCACCAGCCGCGGGAGCCTGATGAGGCTCTCGCCGGAACACATGCGCCGGCGGATCAGTTGCAGGAACAGCTGGTACTGGTACTGGCCCAGCTGGCGGTCGACGCCGCCCTCCGTCAGCCACTGCACCCACTTGTAGGCGGGGCAGATGCGCGGCCAGGGGTACAGCATGTCCAGCCAGATCATCCGCACCTTGGCGCACCTGGACAGGGACATGGAGCCGGCGTCCGCCTTGACGATGGTCAGCTTGTCCAGGGTAAGCAGTGGATCCAGCTCCTTGATGCTTTCGTCGACTGTGATCCTGACCAAGGCGTCCTTGTGAATATGATCAATTCGTGTTGTCTCGAGACGAAGAATCTCCTTTACCGACACACATAGGCCTTCTGGCTGCAGTTCCCGAATGCGTGAGCCGATGACCTGCATTGTGCAAACTGTCATGTTGAAACTCTTGCTCTGCACAACGTCAAAATAACTATCCCAGATGATCAGTTCATTCACTGCGCCGGAAAATGCGTAGGGGTGCATGTCACCTTTCACCAGAAGATTGCGAACGACGAAAGACGCCATGTCATTGCGACTGTGGAAGCATTTGTTACTTATATTGCCGATTGTCACATTGTTCCACTCGCTGAAGAAGGCACGTCCACCGAAACTCTCCTCATGGCAAACATCCATGGTGACATTGTTCATAACGTATTCGAAAACTGAGCCTGTTATCCAGCTGGACTCCAAGTTCAGCATCTTCACATACTGCAGCAGGAAACTGGGACCCTCCTCAGCCCGGCGATCGTCGGCTTCCTCAGCCTGGTGATAGTCGAAGGCTCTGGATTCAACATCAAGATGTCCAATGTGGTGCATCTGAATCGCCGTTTGTGATTCCCAGTGACCAGCAAACGATCCCGTCTTGACATGGAGTGATGCGATGTTTTCAAACCTAACAAGGCGCAGGCTGTTGTTACTGTGCGATGCCATGCCATGACTCTCGATGTCTAGCCGCTGAGCGTGGCTGATGGTGAAGTTGACCAGAGAGTGGAGGCTCTTGATGGCGCCCTCGTCGATAATGACGTGGCTCCAGCCGCTGATGTTCACCGACAGAACGCCCGTCGGAAAGAAATCTTGACGCAGAGTCAACTGAGGATCAGATCAGACGCCAGTCAAAGGCAAGGTTTGATTTGGTTCGGTCCTAGAAAATAGCGAAGCCTGCAAACGTGTAAAAATATCGGATTTGTGAATGATGTAAGCAACTCATAATGAATAACATAAATACAAGTCCAAGCAATTTTTGCGTGACAATAGAAACGAAATTCAAAGTTACGTTTGAGGTTTGTACCACAACAAAATCGCAAAACATGTGCGAATTAAGTTAACATACCAACATACTCGCCTATCGTGCGAATTCAATGCTGTTTAAATACTATTTTATTACCCTACGTAGGTAGGGGCCGTTTAATTTTACGTAAAGTAACTAAACAATGATAGTGATACCTACATCGCTTTGTCTCATTTTTTACATTACAAACAGCAATCAATTTTGAAAATTGACAGGCTGACTTTTTTACTCCCTATTAATGCACATTTACATCCCCTTTCCTGCCCTGCGGAGGCTCACCGTCTCATTTCCCGGCGACGGGCAGCTGACGCTCCGCGCTTTGGCGCACGAGGGCCGGACCGAGCAGACCGCGATCTCGCACACGGCCGGCCCCGGGCTGCGGCGACCCACGGACCCGGTCAGCGCCGGGGCCGGCAGCAGCAGCGGCAGCCCCAGCAGCCACAGCGTTCTCATCCCGACCGGTGACCTCATGGTGCCGCCGAGCCAGACCAGAGCCGAGCCAGTCGAAACAGCGTCCCGTCCGAGACGTCACCGTCTTCTGTGGACAACCGTGAAGCGCCCAGCAACGTCATCATCGAACTCCGTGCCAACAGAAATGTGGACAGGATAACTGCTACAAGATAGGTATGTTTAACTATGGGATGTATGTGCAATAAAAAGGCACTTTTCATCAGTAGCGGCGGAACACCTTCAATTATACGCCCTTATAGGGCTGAATATTAAAATGATAAAATCAAAGGGGGGCACGGTGCCCCGGTGCCCTCCCCGTTCCGCCGCCTATGCTTTTCATTCTTCAACAGTTTCCATAAAGCATTTTTTCGGTACATCGGGCTTTATCATCACCTTTTGGTTCGATAATTGTTTTCAATAAATAGCCTTTGCTCAAAAGCCTTTGCTCATGTGCTTGTGAGTCCTTCCATTCAAAAGGTTCGGACTAAATTTATTTAAAAAGAAAAAGGTTATGTGTTTGAAGTTTTAACATCAAAATGTCATTAAACTTTGCCTCTATTACGTTCATAGAAACTCTTCACTCTTCAGAGTAGATCTGATGAGGTGCCATGGACGAAATAGGGGTCAAATTTTATACATACCTAGTAACTATCTTACCCTCGCCGGCCGAGGGGGACGGGTGCCGCCCCCCCCCCCCCATAGCGTTTTTTCGCGATAGCTCCTAACACGCTGGCGATAGAGAACTGAAACTTGGTATACCTGACCTTTGATTCAAGTCGAATCCTTTGACACCAACCGCATTTTCGTGTCAGGTCAGGTTACTGACCTATGACCATAGGCGGCGGAACGGGGATGGCACCGCCCACCGGGGCACTGTGCCCCCCCCCCCCCCGCTTTTAACATTAAAACGGCATTTTAACGGCATTTTAACATTAGCCCTGTGGGCGTTGCACGGAAAGAATGGGACCAAACGTCGGCAGTGCCCCCCCCCCCCTTAATTGAAGGTGTTCCGCCGCTACTGCCTAAGACGTCATAAGTGAACCTCTGCACGGTCTTCAGATGTCGCAACATATTACATAGCAACGCCCTCACTGGCAGAGGAGCTTTCACAGGGAAATGAAACTTGCAGGATCGAATATCCATTACGAGTCTCATAACTTGTTATCTCGGATTTTTCCTAAAGGTCATATGAGGTCAGGTCATTTTCGTGACCTCACCATTATAAGCCCATGGGGAAAAAATGAAAACTGCTAGGTATTCTGGCGCCGGGAACGATCTCCAACTATCTCAAGCACACAGAATCGTGATTTTGTGCACTCCTTGCAAGGTAAGATGCGTCACTTTTTCAATGTTGACCTTGCGTGAGGTCATGTATGACGTCATTAGGGTCATATGAGCTTTTCGTCAAGAACTCCCGATCAAATTGAGCTAGCGAGTCGGGAAATCCAGCAGTGGACTCATGAAGACCTGCCAAATCGAGTGATATGCAACATGACCTACTTCGACCAATTTCGTGACCTAGGGGTGCTGACCTGACCGTGACCTGAGGTCAACACCCTAAGTTGACCTCACCCAAATAAAGAGTATATCATTCGACGCACCTGAGCGAGGCAAACACGATGCTGCCAAAATCGCGGCTCTGCGGTCGTTTTTTGCTAAGTTATTCACCAAAAACGGAACCGTACATTGGGTCACTTGACCTGACCTCAGAGGTCACCGGTTGACCTAGGACCTTAAAATCGGATATCAATCTCTGCGTCTCGTAACGGCGCACACGATCGTTTTTTTTTCCGCAACGCGCTAGCGTCACCAGGGGCGAAACGGCGAGGGGGTTTTACCCGCCCCCTCCCCCTCGGCCGGCGCGTATACGCGCCTTATTATTGGTTTACGCGCCGGACTTATTGGTTTTCTACATATATGTAGAAAACCAATAAGTCCGGCGAGGGTTAATTTTAGTATTTCAAGAATATAAAGCGAGCTAAGCCTAGGGCAAGGTTGCTTATAAGCGACCCTTTCCTATTTGCGACCCACCTCCCTACAGAAAAACTGGTAAGAGAAATCGGGGAGAAACAATGTCAAATGGACTGTCATACATTGCTTAACAATCTCAATTCTTTTCCGGTAGTCGGTGCATTTGTTGATACGTTTTAGGTGAGTTTAAATATAAATGGCCATTTTCTTATCCAAACCGTGTGTATTTGCGCCATGTCTGATGAAAAACGATGCACGTGTCGCTAGATGATGCACCTTTTTTATTCTGAGTCAATAATCATTTTTTCAATTGATTGCAGCCTTCCCGTAGTGAATCGCTCGACTCAGCAGTGCGTGGTGGATGAAAATGTGTCGCAGCCCAAGATTCTTCAAGATATCGCAGCCCATATTTCCTCTTTGCACCCGACATGGTCGCATATAGCTCAAGAAGGGAAATGAATGGGAAAAAAGAGCAGGGAATATGAGGGGTTGCCGAATTAAGCGCGGGCCTCGAATACAATACGGGATAACTACCAAAAAAGGGGTTTTCGCCTTATTTTCGCCTTTGGTGCATTACGTGATCAGCTTCCACAAATATAAACGTGCTGGCTGAATGGTCCTATTCTGGTGATTAAGTGCTTTGCGTATATGTTATATTTAAGTATCTTGTTTCATGTTTTCGAGCGTAGCATTTTTTCGCCATTTTGTTATGCGAAAACCCATAGACCTATTACCGATCCTCCCCGGTCGCTAATCGGAACTATATTATAGTTCCCTTTTAGCGTTTTTTTGTAATGGTTTGCAAAAATACTCACTACAAATAAATTTGTGGATATTTGGGCAGCAAAATGTATTGATTCTGATAGGAAAATGAACGATCTCTCCAAAAAGCAATCCAGTAATACAGTGGCACCCATAAAGCGTGAGCAGCGACGGTTCAAATTAAGTGGGTCACTAATTAGGCATTTTACGCTACAAATTAGGTACCTAATGATTACCTAATTATCGTTACAACCACAATGCTCAGAACAGCGCTCGATCTTGTTTATTATTCGTTCGTTTCGATGCAAAGTGCAGTGAGAATGGGATTTAACCCGCAAGTTGCTGGGGGGGGGGGGCGTTAAACGCCCCCACTTTTTTCGCCGGGCCATACCATAAAAACGGCGCGCCGCAGGCGCGCCAAATTTTGGGGACCTGTAGGGAATTGATCGAAGTTTATTGTGACAACGTTTGAAAAAAAAAATCGGTCGAAAATTCTTGAGATATCGAGGTTTTAGTGACGTCATGATTTCTGAGTTTTCGACCAAAAACGGCATATGTTCAAAAAATCATATAAAACCAGTATAGCGCCTTTTGGGGCGACTAACGGAGCGAGCGAGGGGGTGACTCTTGCACGTGCGAAATTTTGAGGGGGTACCTCCAACTGACTTGTGCACGGCACCCTACTGACCGGTTTCTAGCGATGTGCCAAATTTGAGCACAATCGGCCCAGCCCTTCTCGAGATCTGGGAGCGGCACCCTGCACGTGCGCACGTGCAAAATGGGTCCCAACTGACTTGTGCACGGCACCCTACTAACTGGTCCCTAACCATGTACCAAATTTGAGTGCCATCGGTCCAGCCGTTCTCGAGATCTGGAAACGACCCCTGCACGTGCGCACGTGCAGCAGCACCCCAACTCTGGCACATGGATATGCAGTGCCTAGTGGGTGCCTACCTACATGCCAACTTTCAGCGCAATCGGCCAAGTAGTTACCGAGATATTGCAACAATTACAAAGCTGACACCTCTTCGTTTTGCACGTGGCACGTGCATAAGGGGTCACCCACATGCATCGGGAATAGTCCAATACTTGGTAGAAGGAATGAAGCTACCCTACAAAAATTACCGCGTGTAAATCGGTCAAGTGGTTGCTGAGATATAAGCCTCGCAAAAGCGTCCGCCTCCGCACGGCCGGCCGGCCGCTCATACTCAGAAATTTCCGTTATTCTACGTAAGACTCCGCTCGCTTCGCTCGCTCCGTAATCAAAGAATAGACATACAGACATGCCGTAAACGCCATTAGACTGCCAATACAATGAACATTCAATCAAATGGCTATCTTTGATTAAAGAGTATCGTTCCACATTTTCCAAATTCTTGATCTGAATCTTGGCAATTTCTCGTGACTACTTCACGACCATGATACATGCATTTCTTAAATTGAACTTTTTGAGCCAAACACGTGCATGTATGATAAAATGAATGCACCATCGTGTTCTACGCCCCAAATTACCCATAAAACATGTGTCAAAGGCTGCGAATATCAGTATTGAGTTTCGGGGATATGTGCCTACCCGGTTGACCTGACCTTGACCCTGACATATGCTGGACACCCCTACATGGAGCTGACACTCTTGTAGGCCTTATATGATGGATTGTGCACCGTTTTGACAGAGTTTATGACGAGAGGCGCCCATTGCGAAGTCCTGAAGTCCATGCTACTGAAAGCCCGATTTCAGGTGTTTGACCTGACCTTGACCCGACCTGTGACCTCAAAATTCAACTTTGAAGTACTCATCTGAAGCGTCTTGTCGCGTTCTTTCGTTTGCCGCCTCGTGCGTTTCGCTGCGCCTATTGGTTCTCGAGCTATCGGCTGGGGGCGTTTAACCCCCCCCCCCCCCCCAGCAAACGGTGGGTGGCGAAATACCTCAGCAACTGCCGGGTTAAGGTACTTTCTCGTTCAACTTTATTTGAAACTGGAGCACGTACCCGTGTCCCGCGGCCGCGAACCGCGACTTGCGAGAACAGACAGATGGGGCACAAATTATTCCGTAATTTCCATGCTGATAATGACGCACTGTCTAAATGTATCGATCAGATATGTATATTCTGAAGTAACAAGCATCTTGTGTCACACTGTATTAGTTATAAAAATGCCTTTAATTAGTTATGCCGACTTACGTGCGCTGTTCTCACCTGATTTGGTCGTGGACGGTTAAATTGACGGCTGGCTCTCGGTCAGTGCCCAGGGGTCGGTTATGACTGCCTCTGTGACACCCTACTTTGCTGAGCTGTTATCATTGCGCCCGACGGATTGGTGCTATCTGACGTGCACTTCACTGCGCCGATACCTTTGTATCGGACGGCGTAGGCTAGCCCGGCACGGGCCTTTACCAGGATCCTGATAAAGATTGCGGTTCCGAGACGGCCTTTTCATATAGTTATTCCTTTAACAACCTGAAGTGGTCCATTTGCCCTTCAAACAATGCAAATATGCTAATACACATTTCCTGTTGAATTCCCTCGCGATTCTTTCTCCCTTTCCCAAATTTCCATCCAACATCAAACATGTTTAGTTGCACACACCTTTGAGGTAAGCATGGTAACATATTCACAACGCTCGTTATTTCGCTGGAGCCTTCGATAAACATTTTTACGTTTCGTACCCAATACACATAGATATCAAATAATGATAGGTACCTATCCATGCTTAGTTATCAACTGAATTTTATATCACAGGCTCAACAAATTAAACAGCTTTGTAGCAGGAGAACTCTACACAAAGCTGTCGTCTTCATCCAAAAATGGATGATAGTCACGGCTTTTAAGCCCCATTAAGAATTTTCATATCTGAAAAATCACAGCCTTATTACAATTTGTATATTTTGCATCCCAAAGAAGTTCAGCAATACACTATCATGCAGGATTCCATACAGTTCACGACAAAAAGGGATTACAGATTTACAGATATTTACAAAAAGAGATTGTAAGCGCGCTCATTTAAAATTTGACTAGAACTGCCGAGACGCACATACGAGTATACCTACAAGAGGCACATATACATACATCCTACCTGTAGGATCTACTAATGTATAGGCTCATGAAAAGTAACTATAATACTTTTATAGTTTTCGCCTTACGACACCGTTAGACCTAAAATACGCAGTAGAGTTTCGGCATACGTGGCACCATAGGCCACACTATATCAGTAGGCAATACAGTAGTCTATGGTGGCACGCGTAGCATATGTATAGGTAGGTGGTGAGCGATGTATGCACCTATTCTGAGTTACTTGCACCTGGCGTTGACCGCCGGACTAGACCGACTCGGCCTGCAGGCCGCTGAAGTACTCCAGCATGGAGGCCATCTGGTGCGGACAGCTGCCGAAGAGCTTGTTGCACGAGTCGGCGCCGAATCTCTCGCCCATGAAGGCGGCGTACCAGTAGGCCCCCTTGCTCGTCTGCATCTTCTCAAAGTCGACCCCGTCCAGCTCCCGGCTGCGGACGGACGTCAGAGCACTGTCAAACCGCGAGCGGACGACTTCCGGAGGAGATGTGCGGGGCGTAAGCCTCGTCTGTCGCCGGCACATTGGAGCAGGGCTTGCAGCGCTGAGCTAATTCGGCCGCGCACTGTAACACGGTCGAAGTTCCTTCACACTCTCCCCCTCCCTTTCCCTCTCCCGACTCCCTCCCCTCCCTCTCCCTACCGCTTTCCCTCTAACTCTGCCTCTACATACATACACACACACACATCTCCCTCTCCCTCTCGGACTCACCCGAACAGCGCCGACACCATGGCCTCTTCCTCACTGAGCTCCTCCTCGGGCCGCGCCTGGATCAGACAGACGAACTTGAGCGCGCAGCCGAGCTGGTCGGTGGCGCTCACCAGGTCCCAGACGACGGCCTCGCGGCGCGCCGGCACCTCCACCGAGCGCTTCCCGCGCCGGCTGGCCAGCGCGATGGCGCCCACCACACCTGCGGCCGGGGGTACAGGGACATCACAGCGACCAGCTTACTTGTGGGGTACCACACCGTAGCTATTCGTTTGTGCTAATGTCAGCTCCGCCAGCTCCCGTACCGTCTGAGCGCCAGGCTATCGCCAGGCCAACCGTGCAACAGACCCAGCCAGGTCTCCCAGACGGACCAAGTTACGCCGCTATGAACTCACCCACGCCGAGCGCCAGGCCGCCGAGCGCGGCCAGTCCGGCGGCGCCTGCGGCAGTGCCCGCCGCCACCGTGCCCGTGGTGGTGCCCAGGATAAAGGTGGCCTCCACAGCGGCCAGCGCGGCCAGCGCGGCCAGCGCGGCCAGCAACAGTACAGAGGAGCGCATCGCGACGGAGCGGGGCCGCAGTCAGTGTTAACGTGAGCGTCCTCGGAGGAGGCGGCGGCTTTATACCGAGCTCGGCGGCCTCTCTGAGGAGACGGGAGCGGCGGGCGTCCTTTCGCCGGCCGCCGGCAGGACCGAGCGCGGCCAGCGGCCGCCGGGGTGCCCCCGGGGCTCGCCGAGTGGTCACCGGTCACCGCCAACACTGCGCGATAGTGCTGACCAGTCATGGTGTGCCAGCCACAGTCATGTCGCTGTCATGGTGTGCCGGAGCCGGCCGTGACTGGCGCCTCTCGCCCCGTGCGTGATTTCCGTTACTTAGTTAGTGATTTGGGACCGGGACGAAACGATGCCGAAATGCAAAGAATCTTGCTTGAATATTTGTCAAGCTGATTCAATGCTATAACTAGTTTCACAACGTGTCGCACCGAAGACGGTGCTTTATATTCCTCAGCGATCAAGTCCTATAAGCATTGTATGGTAAACGTTTAATAGCTTTACAGTTGACGCTACAGTCCCGCGTTTAATCTATCCATATATTGATATATATTGATATATCCATATATTGATATACGGCAAGGGGGGTCCGTTGGACCCCCCTTGCCGTTTCGCCCCTGATCGAGCTAGAGCTTCGCGGAAAAAACGAGCGTGTTGCCCGTGACGAGAGGAAGCCGATGATGCCCAATTTTAAGGTCCTAGGTCATTGGTTGACCTTGCAGGTCAGGTCAACGACTCAAAAGTCGGGAAAATCGGGACCTGTTAGAACGTCGTAAAGTGTGGCTGCTATGGGGTTTTCGGGGTGCTGATCACGAATATCATGTTAGTTTTGATCACAGATGATGTGTCTTCATGCATTTAGGCCAGGTCGGGTCAGGTCAGGTCAGGTCAACCAGTAAGGGTATTCGTAGTAGGTGGCAACCGCCTCTGACAGCTTCGTAACATGTTACGAAGGCACCAAAACTACTTCGTAAATGTTCATATGGTTGCTAAATTCCAATTCAGCTAAAAAAAAACTGGCCTAGAAACATGTAAAACTCGAAAAAGTGAACCGAGGTCATCAAAGGTCAATGACCTGACCTGACCTTCAGGTGACCTTGACACCCACCCCTATGCATGGGGGCAACATCATATCACATGTTTGAACGCTCGAAACCACGAAAAGACTGCAAACGCGCGGCTAATGCGAGCCGACATACGCCGTATCGCGATTCCGGCCAAACATGGTCTCGAAAAGTAGGTCACAGGTCAAAGGTCATTTGGGTCAGGGTCATGAAATTTTCAGGGTAGGTGTAAAATTGAATAACGCGAGGGTACTGAAAGTTTCGTCGCGATCAGCCGCTTTTTACGCGAGTTATTTGCGAAAAACCATGGGGGGTCCGTTCGACCCCCCCCCTATACGGGCTAGGGTTAAATAAATATAAATAATTTTGATGCATTTTTGCTTTAATCAATTTATTTAACACAAAAAGATGTGTCTTATCGTGCCTTATCTTGAATTTCGGACACCTATTTCAGACTTTGTAGCGACTCTCAGGCCTATCGTTGAAACACAGCATGGGTGGCTAAAATGCGTCTTATGTGGAAATCGTCTCTCCCTCATATAAGTATCGCCTCGGTTTTGGAACACGCGTCTCCGGGCCGGCAGCGTAGCGCCCTGCCCGAGGCGGGGACTGGCTCTGTGTGGACTCTGGATCGCTCTGTGTGAACTCTGGACCTCTCACGGGGACCGCCGCGCCGCTGCAGGACGGTGACTTGCACTGGTGAACAGCAGAACAACTCCCTGGCGACGGAGATATTCACTGAACACTGACCACTGGTCAGGTAGGTGACGGTCTTCTGAACACTGATCAGTGCTCACTGGTCGGACAGGTGACGGTCTTCTGGCCACTAAATGACTGTCGTAACACGTTAATAGCGAGTCAATTACACGGAGTGTTGGAGAGATCAGCGGACCCCAAATAACATCCGTTTCTGTGCCTATCGACCTCATAGTTAGGTGGATCCCACACCAGCGTCTCACCGCGCCGGTCTGAAACAGTGAAACCTTCGTGAATACCGAGAAAGACGACAGTCGGGCTTTAGAAGCGCATCAATGAGCGTCACAAGACTATCAATGATAATATATCGTAATTAATAGTTAATCAAACAATTTAATAGTCAAGTAGGTAAATGTCGTTTTCACAAATACATACAAAGACTGTTCGTTGTGCTGGTTTGGGCTCTTTTTTTTGTGTTTGGAAATTCCCGTCCCGTTGGACAGATCACCAGTCCCGTGGATTAGAAGTGGGACACCCGCGTCCCGTGGGACAGGTCACCCGTCCCGTGGATTAGGAGTAGGACACCCGCGTACCGTGGCCGTGGGACAGGTCACCCGTCCCGTTTCACCCCTCCCGTGGGACAGGTCACCAGTCCCGCTCCACCCCTCCCGTGGGACAGGTCACCAGTCCCGCTCCACCCCTCCCGTGGGACAGGTCACCAGTCCCGCTCCACCCCTCCCGTGGGACAGGTCACCAGTCCCGCTCCACCCCTCCCGTGGGACAGGTCACCAGTCCCGCTCCACCCCTCCCGTGGGACAGGTCACCAGTCCCGCTCCCCCCTCCCGTGGGACAGGTCACCAGTCCCGCTCCACCCCTCCCGTGGGACAGGTCACCAGTCCCGCTCCACCCCTCCCGTGGGACAGGTCACCAGTCCCGCTCCACCCCTCCCGTGGGACAGGTCACCAGTCCCGTTTCACCCCTCCCGTGGGACAGGTCACCAGTCCCGCTCCACCCCTCCCGTGGGACAGGTTACCAGTCCCGCTCCACCCCTCCCGTGGGACAGGTCACCCGTCCCGTTTCACCCCTCCCGTGGGACAGGTCACCAGTCCCGCTCCACCCCTCCCGTGGGACAGGTCACCAGTCCCGCTCCACCCCTCCCGTGGGACAGGTCACCCGTCCCGTTTCACCCCTCCCGTGGGACAGGTCACCAGTCCCGCTCCACCCCTCCCGTGGGACAGGTCACCAGTCCCGTTCCACCTCTCCCGTGGGACAGGTCACCAGTCCCGCTCCACCCCTCCCGTGGGACAGGTCACCAGTCCCGCTCCACCCCTCCCGTGGGACAGGTCACCAGTCCCGCTCCACCCCTCCCGTGGGACAGGTCACCCGTCCCGCTCCACCCCTCCCGTGGGACAGGTCACCAGTCCCGCTCCCCCCTCCCGTGGGACAGGTCACCAGTCCCGCTCCACCCCTCCCGTGGGACAGGTCACCAGTCCCGCTCCACCCCTCCCGTGGGACAGGTCACCAGTCCCGCTCCACCCCTCCCGTGGGACAGGTCACCAGTCCCGCTCCACCCCTCCCGTGGGACAGGTCACCAGTCCCGCTCCACCCCTCCCGTGGGACAGGTCACCAGTCCCGCTCCACCCCTCCCGTGGGACAGGTCACCAGTCCCGCTCCACCCCTCCCGTGGGACAGGTCACCAGTCCCGCTCCACCCCTCCCGTGGGACAGGTCACCAGTCCCGTTCCACCTCTCCCGTGGGACAGGTCACCAGTCCCGCTCCACCCCTCCCGTGGGACAGGTCACCAGTCCCGCTCCACTCCTCCCGTGGGACAGGTCACCAGTCCCGTTCCACCTCTCCCGTGGGACGGGTGAGACAGACCACCAAATGGTCACGACCCTCCGCGCCCAACAGTTATGGGGAACTGCTTCTATGGAAGCTGCGCTCGCCGCAGGCCTTGTAGCGTTGGCCATCAATATATGGAATTGATGACATCTTGGCGGGGCTGCGGATTGAACTGTCTATATGTAACTCCGAGCAGTGGAAGACGGAAGATGGAAGTAGGCGCTCGCGCGATATTCGTGTAAACTGATGCATGTACTTACCTACTAGTACCGAATGATGCTGAATAGCTCGTTACAACTTACAGGCATACTATCAGCCAGCATGAGTACCTATAGCTGGTGATTCACGTAACAGCATTTCGAAGGACAGACAACACCTTGGACGATAAAAAGTGTGGTGGCCATGCGTCGCTGGTATCCTTGACTTCTTTGGCCACTAATGGCACGGAGTTCCCGCTCGGAGTCCGTATATACGGAGCGTTCTGCGGTGGCTCACGCCGAGTGGGTGTCGGCGTGTGCGTCAGCGGCGGCCCGGGACGGGCGGGTGTGTTTGTCGCGGCGGAGCAGACGGCGTGACCGAACCTCCGGTCACCGCGTCACCGCACCCCGCCAAGGTCACCGCGCACCGGTTACACCCGCGGGAGGGTGACGGGACGGCCGGCTGGGGCTCAGCCGAGTGGCGCGGCTACCTATCTGTCACCCTGTCGTTCATGGCTGTCGGCGAGACAGACAGTGTGACAGACAGCGGCACTGTCAGCTGCCAGAACGGAGCAAATCGGGGTCGAGGAGTCCTGCCATCAATATGCTATGACCTCCTTCAACCAGTTTCGTGACCTGAGCGGCTGTGGCCTGACCTAGACCTGAAGTTGACATTAAGTCGTCCTTTTTCAAACACAAATTAGGATCATTAGACGCACCTGCTCGCCAGAAACACTTAAAACCAGGGCTGCAGAGTCGGAGTCGGAGTCGGAATCGGTCGGAGTTGACTGTTCTACGTGCAGTCGGAGTCGGAGTTGGAGTCGCCAAAATTTTCGACTCCGACTCCGGAGTCG